AAAAAAAAAAAAAAGTGATTGGGAGGCATATTGATGAGCTGATGGGTACCTACGTTGGTCTGTAGATCATGTCAGAATCTGCAATTGTATACTTTTGTCTTTATATTCAATCAAGCTACCCAAACTTTTCTGACATAACCTAGTTAGAGCTAACCAAGTATAGGTTAGAGGCTGACTTGGCTAAAGGCTTTATATGGGATTTGTGACTCTCTTTGGATCAGGCTTATTGGTACTGGCTTCTTGGCATTGACACTGAGTACATAAACAGTTCTATCTTAATAGAGCCTCTGCGGATAATACACACACACACACACACACACACACTCATATTTTGTTTGGTTGCAACTCTATAGTGCAAAGCACAGCTATTAAATAATGGCTTTGTGTTGTACTATGTTAAGCATAGTCCAATTGTCCTTGGTATCGCTGATTATCCAAAACGTTTTCTCTCATATTATTGTATCATCTTTTTATTGAAAGGACAAATATTTCAGCCATTACAGACAAGCTATTTTTGGGCATCTATGTTAATTAAATACTTCTATACATTTACTGTTATCATCACTATTATTAAGCCCTAATTACCTACTAGACATCTGACATTTCCAAATACTGAAGCTTATTTGGTCTTTGTTCACCTAGCTTATAATCATCACAATTTGATACAAGAATAAAGAAATAAACATGAGAAAGTATATTAGAAGAAAAGTAAAAAGCTAAGTTCTAATCGTGAACAAAGATTTAGACATTAAAATGATAGTTACATCATACAATGTCAGTGATCACTACAGTTTTTTTGAGGGGAGGCTCTTACCTCCACTCCCCTTCCCGTGATACCCAACAAATCAATGCAGAGATTCTCCTAGCTGTATGAGTGTCATTTATGATTAAAGGATGAAAACACTGGTCCAGGAATTTTCTTCTTTTTTTGTTTAGTATCATTTTATTTTTTAATTTTTATTTTTATTAGTACATGCTTGCAGTACCCAATGATTTCATTTATTGTGGGGAGTTGGTACATGTACATAATACATCTTAATTATGTTATGGCTTGTGTCTAGATGTCCCCCCAAAGCCTCAAGTTGTCATAGGTGGGGCTTTTTCAGAGGTGGCTGGATCTAGAGTGTGTGATGCTGGGATTAAGGGTATGTGATTACTAAATTAGTACACTGATTAGTTTGGCACAGTTTTGGCTAGGATTAAGGGTTCCCTACCTTGGGTGTGAGTGCTACCCACTAAGGGCGGGTAGCCTGGATAAAAACATAAGGGACACAGAGAGGGCTAGTGTTGCTAGTCACTTGTTGCTTGTTGTCTGTCGCTTGCTGCCTGCTGCCTTCTGCTTATGATGCCCCTCTGCCATGCCACCCTGCCTTGGAGCCAGCCAACCACGAACTGAAACCTCTACAAACTGTGAGCTAAATAAACCTTTCCTCTATTAACTTTGTTTTTTTAATTTAATTT